CCGTCCCCATAGACCATGACAAACGTAATCATAGGAACACCACGGACTATGACAAATACTACGTAGGTAGAGATCATCATAGATTGTGACAGACATAGTTCATATACAATGCAAGACCGTATAGATATATAACGTCTTGTTATAATATATGACACTACTACCATATGGAATTTCTGAAGAAAATCTATTGAATAAAATAATCCTCTTGTGATGATGAATAGCAACTACATCGTCTTTTAGATTTTAATCCTGCATGAATTGCACGAACAGCTTTTTGTTTAAATAACCTTGTCTTTTTTATAGGATTTAAGACAACGTTTAGTTGTTATTCAACCAGAATTATTACATTTAAATGATGAAATAGAAAATCTTTCTAAAGAATTAAATGTTGTTTCATTAGAAAATGATATTATTAATCTAAAAGATAATTTTATTAGAATATCAAATGATGTTCGAGAAAAATTTCATAGGTAAAATTAATTTTTTTTTATTCAATTAGTTTTTATTATTCTCTCAAAATATTTTATTTAGTCATAGAAGTGCAACTGTTATTGTTAATGATATAAAACGTTATTTAGCTTATCTTGAAGATCTATTAAGTCAATGTTCAATTGAATCACGAACACGATATCATCGAGATATAAGTGAAATCAAAGATCAATTAGAACGAATGATGGTAACAAATAATTTCTTGATTTTCTTTTTTTTCTTAATTAATTATTTTTAGGAAGTGGAAAAACGTCTTGAAAGTATTGGAGATGTTTATTTGAACACACAGAACCATTAATTAAACGTTTACCAACTTATTATTTATATGATTTACAATCAACTGAAGCAGCATTAGAAATTTTTCACCGTAAATGGACATAACTTAAAGTAACAATAATTATTATTATGTTTTTTGTTGATTATAGAGAGATATTTTACGAAGTGAACAAATTCTTCGTCAAAATATTATTAATAATTTACCATGAAGACAAGCTTGTAAAGAAATAATTTTATTTATTGATACAATTAAACGTTTATTGGATGATGATGATGATCATGGTGCACACCTATTAATAATAGAGAAACTTTACAAAAATTACTTCAACGATATCAAGTAAATTAATCTTGTCTTATTCATTTTTGTTTTCGTAAATAAACACTTACATAACTGAATGAAGCATAAATTGACCGTGATAAAAGTTTGGTGACTTTGTTTTGTTTTGCATATACCTTCGTCAATGTGTTTTATGTTAAGATATCTTCGTCTAAAGAAAAAAAAATCTATGTTGACCTTCTAGCTCTTTTACCTGATAGCAGGATTTTTGGCGACTACTGTGCTACTCAATTAGATTCTATTAAGTTGTTGATGTTTGAGCAGGAATCAGTGATTATTTCTGTTTGATGGTTTGTTACCAA